TTTATGCACGATTTGAAGATAAGAAAGATTTTGAAAAAGTAAACTAAAACCTATTGTTTTATATATTTCATAGAGTCAAAATTTCTATTTTTGTTTTAGTTGGGAGTAACACCATTAGTTGATAATAATAAATCTGATCAATATTATTATCAAATTCTTGTTTTCACTGGTCTAAGAACAAATGCTGGAACAGATTCAAAAGTAATATAATACAAAGAAAATATCTTAATGAAACTTTTTTTTCTTTCTGAAAGGTTTATTTTGTTTTATCGGGTGATGATGATCGAACACAAATTCGATTATTTTCTAATCCTCATCGGAAGATTTTTCAACGTGGTGGAATTGATTCTTTTATTATTACTGTTCCAAAGTAAAACTATTATTTTTTTTAAGATTTCAAAAAAAGATTAACATATAGATCATTGGGATTATTAAATTATATTCGTATTTGGCATAATAATACAGGTGAAGGTTCTTCAGCATCATGGTATTTGAAATATATTATTGTTCGAGATTTACAAACTATGGATAAATCTTATTTTATTTGTCAACAATGGTTTGCAGTTGAAAAAGATGATGGACGAGTAAGTCGTGTAATTGAAAACATACTATTTTTTATTTTTGACTTTAATTTAGATCGAACGTATTTTACCAATTGCTAGTGAAGCAGAGAAACAAAAATTTTCATATGTATTATCAAAAAAAGCTTATCATAGTGTGTCCGATGGTCATTTATGGTTTTCAATATTTTCTCGTCCGCCATCAAATAAATTTACACGTGTTCAACGATGTACTTGTTGTTTTGTTTTACTTTTTACTTCAATGTTAATTAATATAATGTATTATGATTTATCAAAAGAAGCAAAAGCATCAAGTAAAACACATAGTGGTGCTTTATCAATTGGTCCTTTTTATATAGCACCACAACAGGTATATATTGATTTTTATAGCAAAAAATTGAAAATTCCGGAGTTGTATATATTTAAGATTGGAATTGGTATAATGGTCGAATTTTTTACATTAATTTCAAGTTTTTTAATTGTTCAATTCTTTCGACGTATTCGATCTCGCCAACACATTTCACGATTACATGAAGCATTATATAAGATAAAACCATCACAACAAACGTTCGTATATTTTTCTTGTGAGGGTAATTAATAATCGTCTTCGCATTCTTAATTGTAGTAGTTCGGAAAATGTCCATGCAATTACGAAAAAGAAATCTTCAATAACATTTCCTTGGTGGTGTTTATTTATTGCTTATGGTCTTTCAATGATAATTATTGTTATTTCAATATTTTTTATTATTGTTCGAGGAATTGAATTTGGTGATGTCAAAACTCAACAATGGTTAACATCTGTTCTTACTGGTTTTTTCTCATCAGTTATTCTTACTCAACCTATTAAAGTATACTTTCTGATTTCTTTTAATTTATATTTTTGAAATATTTTCTCATTGAAGATTGTATGTTTGGCTATATTCTTTATATGTTTTTGTCGAAATTCAAATAATGATAAAGAAACAAGTGAATATATAAATGATGATGATGAATTTAATTTAGGCAATGATGAAGATTATCTTCAATCACCGGAGGTTTGTTTTCTTTTAGTATTTCATAAAAAAATAAATTTTCCGTATATAGTTTCACTCATTATTTTCTTCTTCATCTTTAAAAAGTATTAATCGTCTTAATGAAAATGAAATTGCTTATGCTCGTGATCAACGTTTAAAACAAATTCAAATGTTGACAATTATTCGAGAATTTCTGATTAATTTGATATTTGCAATATTAATTTTTGTCATCACTTATTCAAATCGTGAACAACATAGTTTTTTTCAAGTCAATCATTTACAAGCTTATTTTCTCAATCAAAGACAAACAACTGTTGATTATACTAAAGTTTGTTCTTCTTTTCTTGCATTGAAATGAATTTTGTTTTTTTCTAGATCAATACAATCGATCAATATTGGTATTGGTTAGAAAATAGTTTTGTTTCAAATATTCGTGCACAACAATGGTATAATGAAGATATTCCACAATATTTAAATGGATTTCTAAATGATAAATCTAACCGATTGATTGGTTGGGCTACAATGAGACAATTACGTGTTAAATCAGAATTATGTCCTGATCAACGTGTTATTTCAATATGTGAAGATAGTTACAGTTTTTTCAGTGAAGAAACAGAATTATTTCAACCAGGATGGACAACAAATGCCACGACTGAAGAGTTCAGTTTACCAGTGATAAAAGCATTTAACTATACTACGAGTGATGAATTAGATACATATACATATGTAGGTGAATTTGGAACATATAGAGGAGGTGGCTATGTATATGAATTTCGTGGTAGTTTATCTGATATGACAGCAAATTTATCTAAACTTCATCAATTAGATTGGATTGATGAGAAAACAAGAGCTGTTTTTATTCAACTAACATTATATAATCCAAGTGTTCAATTATTAACTGCCGTTACTTTACTTGCTGAATTTTTACCAACAGGTGGTATTTATACTACAGCTCGTTTCGAACCAATTAATTACTACAGTAATTTACTCTTTATCTTTTATTTTGAAAGATCAATAAATTTTTGTTTTTTAAATTTAGCATTTACATCAATATTACAATTAGTTTGTACAATATTTTATATATTTTTTATTATTTATTTTATGATAATTGAAATTCGATTAGTATTTAAATTAAAATTAAAATATTGTCAACAATTTTGGTCATTAATTCAATTAGGTATCATTGGTTGTTCATTGGGAAGTATTGGAGTTTATTTTTGGCGTTTTCAAGAAGCTAATCATATAAGTCATTTATTTGAACAAACAAATGGTTATATTTATATCAATTTACAACTTGCAGTTTATGTTAATGATATTTTAACATTTCTTCTTGGTTATTGTTGTTTTTTTAGTATGATTAAATTTATTCAATTATTTCGATTTAATCAACGAGTATCTTTATTTGCTGAAACATTAAAATATTGTGCAAAGGCACTGATTTCATTTTCAATGATGTTTGCAATTGTATTTATGGCATTTCTTAGTTTATTTTATTTATTATTTGTATCAAAACTTTCGTCATGTTCAAGTTTAATATCAACTGCTCAAATGCTTTTTGAAATGACATTAATGAAATTTGACGCATCACAAATAATGAGAGCTGATGCTTTTCTTGGTCCATTCTGTTTTGCTTTATTTATGTTTCTAGTTGTTTTTGTTTGCTTAAGTATGTTTCTTTCAATAATTAATGATAGTTTTCGTCATGCGAAAGACGACAATCAAAAAGAAGATCAACTTATACTTTCATTTATGCTGAAGAAATTTTTAAGATGGACAGGTATGTAGACTTTAGAGCTTCTCTTGTGTGTCATTCATTTTCATAATCTTTTTTAAAATGACAGGTCATTGCCTTGAGTTTTTACTTATATATACGAACAAACTTGAAAAATATCACCGCTGACAGAAATACAAAACTTTCGTTTTTGACGTATCTTAGTAGAACATAGTTGTCTATTAATATTTTAGGTCTGAAAAAATTAAATCAATTGGAAATTCAAGAAGAACGAGATTGCCGAATGCGTTCTCAGTATTTTGATCCAATTGAAAATCTTCCTGATAGAATGGATCAATTACTAGAAGCACTCAATAGAGTATGTGAATATCTATTTATCTTTTAATTGAAATTATTTTCTGTCTTTTTAGATTTATATTGATCAAAAAAAAGAATTAGCAAGGCTGAACAAAGCTGGACTCTAAATATTATCGTTCGCAAATTACTTATATTTTCTTATAATGAACTCTAAATAGATTTTCAATCTTTTTTTTTCGAAATAAATCTTTAAAATTGATCAGATGTTTTACTACTGTAACATAGAATTACACGGTTTTCGTTTTTGAAGACATCCTCTTTTTGGTGAGTGTAGATGGATGAAAGGAGCAAAAAGAAGGGTGGGTGTGGTTGTGTTACAAGTGCAACACCCATTATACTTATGTCCAACCCATACCCTCAAGATGGTATCGGTTTATGTTCATAACTTAAGATACATGAAAGCATCAAACCATAACTTTCCTTGTTTATTTTTATTCGAGAGTGTTTCAAAAAACATGTTTTTACTCATTAATTTTTCGATGATGTTTTCACACGTAATATGATTCATTGAGAAATATATAAATATAACAGATTGATCCAGTCGCTAATCCAGTCTTTTCTTTTCATTTTATTATAGTATATAAAGACTGTCTTTTGCTTTTGTAATTATATTCTTAATTTTGATAAATTATAAATTTAAATGCTGTGAGTCAATTATAAAACTATTTCTACTACACTTTTAGACTATGAGTTATGCATATTAAGAGTTTTTATATAAAAAATCTAAAAGAAAAAAATTTATTCATCAAGTCTAGACTATCCTTTTTCTTTTTTCTGTAGACCTTTGTAATGGATATGATCAGATCATTTCACAGTTTACTGTCAAAATATATGTTTCATTATTCCGGAGAATTAATTAAGAAGCATGATTTTGTATCGTATGTAGACAAACGAAGAAGTCTCCGGTATTTAAGTCAATAGTATAAATTTTCTTCTTTCGTCGTCTCCATCGATCTTCATTTATCAGTATTTATACATTTTTGTTATTCGAGATCAAATTTAATGTTCAGTAAACTGAAAGTAACAGGAAACTGTTTTTCTAAATATTATTGTGTCTGTAATGAATACTTACTTATTCATTTCTTTTATTTTTTTTGTGAAATCTGATTTTGAAAATATCATACATTGCAGCGCTTGTCATGACTTTAACGAAATTATTTAGATAGGATATCTTTCACTGGAAAAATCAGAGCACTGATGCATGATATATAACTAAAACTGTTACTTAATATGTTGTTAAATAAGAGAGAAAGATCAGTTGAGAGCAGCATTTGTGTTTTCTTTATATTCGAACGTATCATAATATTATACCGTTCATTTTTAAATCGGATTGAGACAATGGTAGATTTAAAAAAAAGAGCCTTTTGGCATTTTACATTTAAAGACATATTAGCTATTCTATGCTCAGCTGCCATACCCATAGCTCTTGCTACCTATACTGCAATTGGGTCTCAACAACAAAAACAACAAGCTGAAAAAACACGACAGTTTGATTTGGAACAATCAAGAGAATTAAGACAACAAACACTTTATGATGAATTTATAAATTATATTTTTAAATTGGATAATTATGGTTATCTGAAGGAGAGAAAAAATCCATGGGCATTTGCAAATGCATATTATCGTGCTGCTCATCGCCAATGGGACACAATACGTAAAGCAGATGTTATACAATTTCTTAAAGAAAAACATTTAATTGGTAGAAATAATTGTACTAATGGATGTAGAACAACAAAATTAGACGATATAATTCGTTTGAATAAGTTAAACTTTGATAATGTATATCTAGCAAGTGAAATTGGTGCATTACATCAATTGGATTTAGAATGTGTTTCTTTTCATCAGATATCAATGTCAAATGGGAAGTTTTCATCTGTTAGTTTAAATGGTGTGTCATTTGATGGAGCACAGTTAGATAAGGTGATATTTAATAGTTCATCTTTAGTTTGTGCTAGTTTTAATGGTGTAAATCTGTCGGGAGCAGATTTTAGAAACTCAAATTTGACAGGTGCGCAGTTTTCAAACAGTGATTTGTCAGGAGCTAAAATAACGGAAGATCAAATAAACCAGGCATCGTTTGATAATGTAATTATGCCAACCGGAGAAAAGAGTGAAATTAAATCGTCAACGATAACAAAAAAACCTATGACACAAACAACAGCAATAATAAAAACAAAAATGTCGAGAACAACATCATCATCATCATCATCGTCAACAACATCGATAATAACGCCATCAACAACAACAACAACAACATCCTCAATGACTTCACAAACAACGTCAACAACAACAACATCCTCAATCGCTTCACCAACAACGTCAACAACAACGTCAACAACAACAACAACATCTTCAGCAACTTCATCAACAACGTCGTCATCATCAACAACATCATCGTCAACAACAACAACAGCCGGTCAGTATTGTATGCAAGAGAAAAAAAAGCGAGAGTCTAGGAGTGCGTACTCCATCGGTATCTCACCATGTTTTAATTATGTTTTATTTTTACTGAGCAGTACTAGAATCTCGCTTTTCCCCTTAGTAGATATAAAAGTTTCAGTTTCTGTTAAGAAAGTATTGTTCATTTAGTTGAATAATTTTGAAGAACGTTCTCTATCCATAAATATTATGAACAAACCTCCGATAGTTAACTTTTTTTGTGCTCCACTATTAAAACTTTCGATAATATTAGAATTAAAGATTACTAAATTAAAATTCATTATGGATATCATTTTTATCCGTAGTCGTCGTGCTTATCTGTCTTTTTCCTATCGTCATTACAAATAACCCATAGTATAAACATATTTTCTACAACTAATGAGGCCTTCTTATGTGTTGAAGTTAAGACTTAATGAACATCCATATTAGAGTTTATTTGTTGTGTTGCACTCTATAGTTGTAGATTTTGTAAAGAAAACGTTCGACTGATCATTTAATTTGGAGTGTATCGTAAATGAATTTCTGTTTCAATTACGAAGAAGATTAATCTTCTAACTGGATATAGAAATAAACAGCCGTCTTTATTATATCTTCGTGAGATGGTTAGGTTAATGAATAAAGATGAGAACAGTGATAGACTAACTATATGAATTGTAGTTTTTGGATAACTGACTAATAACCGATTAGCAATCCAATCAGATCTGTTGAGAACTTATGTCAGTTTGTATGTAATTGTTTTTACTTTTTGAATTCATTAGATACCGTTTGTAAAGAGATAGTTTAATAATCTACAAAACTTTTATAATTCTCTTGTTACTTAAATGATCAAAAATATTTGAAAGAA